CGCTGAATTGTGCTACAGCTAGTGCAGGTTGAGCATACCTGAACACAAAAGTTCCTTCCCTTCCTTCCCAAAATATAATCAAATTGATTTAGAAACAACTGCAGATAAAATGGTATCCTCTTTTTTACTTAGATGAGGTTTTAGTCTTACATAAATTTATGTTATGCTCTCTGGGTACTTGGATACCATAGTGTAGCTAATACCACTTAGCTACAACGCGAACAACAACAGCAAGAAAGAACTTGCTGTTCAGTGGTTTCTTTGCAGCCAGACACTGAAGGAAATCTCTTTATGTTTGGAAGAAATAGTGACTTGTTTCCCCTGGACATGATACACACCAGATATGCTACCTGAGAAGACAGTGGAAAAAAATTTCTTTTGAAAAATGTATGTAGACCCTACTTTGTTCACCAGCTACAGAATTCTGGCTGTAGACAATGGAAATTCAGCAAGTAAGTTCAGTGTAGATCTATTATGAGTGCTTTACAGTTACTACTTAGTTTCACATGAAGACATCAAAAGCCATTTAAAATCCGAGAAATGTAATATATAATTTAAAAATTAACTTAATGAAGGGTCAAAACCACTACAAGACCTAAACCATAAATATGGTGAGAATGATGTCAGACTTAGGACACAGTAGTTTTTAGAGATCCTTAACTGGGGTTTTTCACTCATAATTAAAAAAAAAAAATAAACTTACCTTTGAATTTCATTGATTTATAAGAGTTCTTATGCAGTAATTACCAGATCTTGTCATGGTTATATTATAGGTGAATTTTGGGTCACTATAAGTTTGAGCGTAAAGCAGAATTAAAATACATTTGAGAAGAGGTTACCACAGTTTATTTGCATCTGTGTTTCCTGTCTAAAGTAACAGAATGAAGCTATTTTGTAATGCACCTTCACATGGAAACGATTTAAGGTGAATCAGCAGTACTAGTAACAGGCAGCATATCCTGTCCATCTAAGGCATGCCAAATAAACTGCTAACAGGTCTTGGTTCAACACACTAAACTTACAGTAGAATTTTGATAATGCCTGTGTGAAAAAACATATGCAAATATATAACCTAAACTTTCTCTTTCCAGTTTGGTGTTGGGATTCACTAATCACAGCAACTAATGTATAAACTAATATAAACAGGAAAGATTCAAATCCGCTTTACAAATATTATGCGTTTGAATGTAATACTTTTTATCACTGTGAATTTGACATGCGTTCACTGATGAAATGTGGTCATGCCAGATGAAAGAAACAATAAAAATATTATAGCATCCTGCAACGTATCAGTTAGGCTATAGGAAGCTTAGACAGTATTAAAAATGTTTGGAGTGAGTTATGTGTTTTTATTTTAAATATAAGTTTCGTTCTTTTCCCACTTCAGGAGTAATGAGAAATTAATTACATGAGAAAATGCAGATAGTTTTTAGAGGTCCCTACTACATGCAAAAGACCAAAAATAACTTTTCTTTAGCTAAATTTATTTGTATCTAAAGATCTGCAAAGAATGAAAGTAAATTTTGTGCCCAATAACAAAGGAAAAAACTGCTTTGTAGTGTATAATGTTCCCATTTCTAGTCTTACAATCATTAAGATTTGAGCTTTGAATAGTGAGGCTCACTCTTATGTAAGCATTCATATTCAATTTCAGTTTCAATCTGTTATTCATAATTTGAATCAGAAAGTTCAATATCAAGAATTACTCTATTTCTGTCCTTTGTTGTACAAAATGGTATGTGTACTTACACTCTTTATTTTCAGATTCTTCATCATTAGGGTTTGATAAAGACTTCACTCTTGCTCTTTAAACCCTCCCTGTCATTCTTACTGCTATATTCTGCTTCTTCTTAGGACCTTTTTGACAATGTGACTGATAAGTCTTTTTACAAATACGCATTTATAAATAGAAAATATCAGTCATTATTGGGATACTTGTTTCATATTTTGTTAGTCTAAAAGTGGTGATGTCTTTACTTTCATCTTCCTCAATTTTGATTGTAATTTTTCCCTGAAGAGTAATAACTTAGCATGATCTTCCTTTTAAAATATCAGAAGATCTGGAATGTTGCTTATATTTTTGCAATCCTTGCTCTGGGCTTTTTTTTCTTGATCAATGACTATAGAGTGTCTCCTTTTTCTTAGCTAGATCTTTTTATGTATATAGATATTTAGGGGTTTTTTTTACCTTTCTTAAACCTCAGGGTTATTTAATTCTTCAGGCTGGAAGAATTCCTAGGGCTCTGTTTCATAATTATACTACTACTCATCTCTTTTTTGCAAAAAACACTTCATTGTTCTTTTCCTCTGTGTATTAAATAATATAAAAATACTAGCTCACATCTCAAACAGTTCTGCATATATTTACAAGCTTTGCTTATCACTTTTCTGCAGCAATTTCATGCCAAACAGATCATTTTTGTATTATCTTATTAGGCTTTTCTGTAATGCTGATCCCTTTATTTTTTCCTTCCAAACCAGCTCATTTTCAATTTGAAGTATGAAGGCTTTCTTCTTCATAGCATGGGTGCAGAGTAGAAGTACACAGCATTTGTACTGCTATGCCAACTGTGTGATTTTGCTGAAATAAGCATAGGTCACTAATAAATCCCAGAAAATGTGAAGTGTTGTGCCACTTAAAGTAACAAGTCTTATGATGTCTTTTGTATGATTTTTCTCTTCTTTTTACCTCTGACAGATCTTTGTGACTGACTTTTCTTGTCACTTTAAATTCAAGGACTGTCTTACTTTCAAAAATCAGCAAACTCATAGTAGGGCTTTTGGGTTTTGTTTTTTTGGTTTTTTTTTTTCTTCCAGAAATAACAGTTGATTGATGACTTTGATTGCCCCCTTTTAACATTGATAAGAAGTAAAATCTCATTAAAGATTTAAGTCACATTGATCTTGCAACACCAACGACTGTGGCCGAATAAGTAACCGTTTCCAAAGACAGATCTGTATAATTCTTAAATGTTAGTGAGTTTCTAGCCATGCAAATGCATGGTGATAGCATTGTTCCTTCACCAAAATACAGGCTGGTAAACTGCAGTCTCATTCTGCAAGCGGTATGTCCCAACTGTCATCATATACTTTCATAAGCATCAGTTAATATAATATGCTATAACTTTTTTCCTATTACTTAGAGAAGCCAGGTTTGTTATAATTTGTGTTACGTGTTATGCGCCTGTAAATTAATATGAGAAGGTTCACAAAACTTAATTTCCAAACCACCCATTTTTCACAATAGTCTAAGTCAGTTATTTTAGGGTGGAAAATATATAGACAAATTAAGAATTTTCGTGTCATGATTTTTAAAAACCAAAAGTGCGTACTGTCATTTCAATTAAACCGTATATGCTGTGTCTAATTGGTTGTATCATATAAATGCATTTTAAATTATTCTTGGAACGAATGCTCTCATCTTCTAGTAGAACATACATAACTATTGTTGATGTGGGGCGCTACAGAGTCTTCTGTGTACATCCTGTAGATGCTAGTGTACAGTATCTTTTATAAACAGGCCTCTTTTTGTCTCTCTTAGAAGAAGGAGCTGACTCAAAGAATCTGATAGTCTTCCAAAGAAAACATCTGTTTTAAATATATTTGTTTGGATTCCAGTCAGCACACCTAGGACTTGCATAATTAGCTTAGACTACACAGTTCCCTTTTCAGAAGATATGTTTATATAAATAAACCATGCATTTTTCATTAAGCAAATACTCCTCCCTTTCTTTTTTTTTTTTTTTTTAAATTAGAAATTCCGGCTTATATTTTAACATATACTTTTGCAAAGCAAAGATTAATTGAGAAACTTTTTCAACACAATTTTTAATATGACATTCATTTTACTGCATTTTGTGTTGTGGAGAACTCTCTTTCAACCATCTTATCAGTATTTCAGTAAATGAGTGCATACATTTATAAAGATGCTTGTGATACCAGTAATTGATCATTTACTAAGTAAAATGTGAATTTTGTACATTTTACTACTTTTGATACTGCATATTGCTTTAAATGTACATAGTAGACTTTTTAAAAATGAATTATGGTAGTAACTGTCTTAAGTTTACCGTTCCTAAAGATCTGATTAACTAAAAATACATAAAATACAGTGTTTATTTCATCTTAAGCAGTTCCTTAGAAGAGACAAGAAGAAATGGAAGCTCAGTTAGTGATCCTTTCTCCATTCATCTCATGCCATGCCACACCACATGATTCCACTGAACCAGAATCTCCTATCATACAGCTGTGCAATATTAAAAGAATTCTTTTCTAAAACTGGATTAATGATTATGCATACCTTCGGTATTAAGATCAAACCTCTCGAATGTTCAGACATTCACAGTTGGGAATGAAATCTTCTATTCTGGGACAAATTCAGCCTGGAGTGACAGGTGTGCTTTATTACAGAAGGGCTGAAGTTGGTATTTCATGCATAAAAGTAGGTTCTAGGCCATTTTTTGGAGTTCATACAATCCAGATGAAACTGTTCTTAATCTGACCTGGATATTCTTTATATCACGTCTGATTTCAGCTCAGTTCTAGACCTGTGGAAACAAGAGTCACACCTGTGTTGAGTGTTTTCATCTGGGGCAACAGCAGTTGGTTCTGAATGATCTCGAAGCCCCACTTACGCTCTGACTGTACGGAATGATGTCTTGTGTGAGACGTGCGGTTGCACATTTGGTTGGAGTTTTTGCTTTTTCTTGCCATTTTCAGAAGTTCTGAAGCATAGACTGGGCGAAGAATGCTGTCGATGGTTCAACGTGTTCCTTCTACCTGTGCATGTGATTGACTGAGTGAAGTTGGCTAAGTGTCGCTGTCTCTAGTTGTGGGGAGTTTTAGTCTGAAATTAATTCATATTGATTATTTCTATTTTTCAAAAGCAGTTGTATACAATAGTACTAAGTACTAAGGAGACAATAATGTTGACTATTGACTTCCTTTCAGTATAACTTAAGTGATAGTAATACAGATTTTGGTTTTTTGATGTTCTGTAGGTGTTTACTCTGTTATGGATTGCTGACTGGATGGTACACCACTTCTGGAAAAAAGGAAAAGATCCTGACAGTTTTTCTATCCCTTATCTTACTGCACTGGGAGATCTGCTTGGAACTGCCTTATTAGCTATAGGTTTTCATTTTCTGTGGCTCATAGGTGACAGAGATGGCGATGTCGGAGACTAATTATTCCAATGGATGCAATGACTTTTCCTGGAATATTGACAAGACCGATCATTCCTTGAAGGTCCTCAAAGTGATTGTTCCATTTTGTATAAGTAAATCAAGTTGACACAGATATAAAACAGCCTTAATGATTTTAGTTTGGTTTGTTTTTTAAAAAATAGTATGGAACTAGGAGGATACTTGAGACCTTTACTCTGAAAACAGGTGGATTGCTGCTAGTTGAAAACATCTGAGTAGACACAATGAAGGGCAGATCAATCCTTCATCAAGTTTTAAATTTTTAAAAGATCTAGTCTTTTAAAAGAACAGTTCCTTACCTGTATTGTGAACCAGAACAATCTCTAATTGCTCATTCAGTGGTGACGAAGAAGAGGGTAACACCCAGTCAGTGCTTGCCTTGTCTTTCCCTCCCGGGAACAAAGTGGGTATATATTGTCGTCTTACCACAGAAGTGGTTAGTAGACCTCAGATGAATTCAGTTTCATAGACATTACCTGATTAGTTGATGATATGTTCTTATCTTGCCATTTCAGTGCTGTAGCTCTCTGACCATGGCAGACTTGATATCAATAATAACAGTTACGGTGATTTGAACCCTGATTGTCTAAACATTTTGTCACAAGTTTTATTTTATATATACTAATATGACCATCAACATTTATAAAATTGGACACTTGAAAAGTGTCTGCAGGACTGAGCCCTTTCTCTTTGTGCTAAAAAGAGCAACCTAATTATTTTGCTGTTGTGATTTATTAGAACAAGAGCATAGTAAAGACAAATAATGTGATACTGACCTGATCAATAATAATGGATGAATGATTAAAACTCCTTGTGTTGGAAAGCGTATTTTCATTTAGCAACCGAAAAGATGTTTAACTAACTGATATTAATGGTGTTGTGATGGCCAGTATCCTGATTTTAATGAAGTCTTTAGAGGTGTTGATTCAAATGTAAATACTGATCCCTGATTAAAACTTGGGGTATGAAAGATTGTGTTTCCTTTTTAGGCACTTAGGAAGTTACATAAACTTCTAAAATTTCAGAGCTATCTATGTCATCCATTTCTAAGCAGAAATCTCTGCTAACAGGATTTCTGCTTTCAAAGTGTGGAACTAATATGGTCAATAAGGAAAATGACTGCTTCTGAATGATTTCTCTTATTTGTATACCTCAATATTTTTAATAATACATTGATCATGAAGACTCTGGTTGCCACTTTGAAAAAATGTACTAATTGCTCTGTTTTAAAATCTAGTGGGAGTTCCTTACGGCATATGTTTTTAAAGACATATAGCATACATCCTCGATGCATAATTAAATAAACAACTCATATTTTAAATGTTGTGATTGAAAGTTTTAAATTTTGAGATTTAAATTAGACAACTAAATCCATATCTCAGCATATGTTGTAATCCTGTAAACATTAGTCATGTGATTTATGCATATAAATCCTCCCTTTTAATTTGATGGTTCTACTCAGATGAATTAAATTAATTATGTGGATAAGTGTTAAAGGGAATTCTATAGGTGTTGGTCACCTTAAACTCTGTGGAAGTTCAAAGTGTTTGCAATTCTGAAAATTAAACCAGCTATTCAGTGCCTACTCATGGATTTAGATGCCTGACTTTTAGCTCCCTCATTTAAACACTTTTATTTAAGCTTTTTCTTACAGTTATGATAATATAGTTGTTTGAATGAATCATATGTATTATGTCTTTTATTATGTGAGAGAAAGATGAAATCTTTCTAACTTCAGGTTCTCTGACTTTTCTTAGTTTGTATTAATGTTATTTAAAATAGTTTCTTGTATGTAGCATTGCGGGAAATACTCCTATTAAATTGTTTAAAATGGACTAGGTGTAACTCATTTTTAGATTTTTTTTTCAATAATAGTTATTTATTTTTGGTACAGATGTAGATGCAAATTTTTTTATTGTGATAGAACTGCCGTCTGAATCAACTAAGCTGCCATTTCAAGCACTTTTTTCATTAGAGTTACTGGATTTTAAGGTTGTTTTTAAATGAATTGCAAGATTCTTACAAATTAAAATTTCTTGTGATACTTGTGATCTGTGCCTATCTGATGCGTGAGGGCATTGTAATATTTAGCCATGGCACTATCCTTAGTGCGTTAAATATTTTCCCAGTAAATAAGCAACAACTGTTGGTACAGTCTGCTGACAAATGGGTGAGTGTTTAGATTGCAGAACTGGGGAAGAAATGTTAAATGGGACAAATTCAGTGAAATTTGAAAAGGGGAAATATGTTGACAGACTGGAATAATCTGGGCATGGAAACAGTAAGTGATGGAAAAGTGTAATGGCAAAATTTGGTATTTCAAGAGGAGGCAAGTTCATTGCATGGTTGAGAGAGCAAAATCCATACTGTGGGAAAGAAAGAGGTGCAAACTTTCCCACAGCATTCATTATGAGAGGCAGGAGCAAACAGAAGCAAGTAATTTGGAGAAAAGAATAAAAAGGCACAGCCAAACTTGTTTTTCAGGAAGGGAAGAAAAATATAACCCGTGTTGAAAGGAATTGGTGAAGCGGTGGAAAAAGACATACTTCGGGGAATGGTGGAAGAGAGAAAAAAAGGAATGCTCTCAGTAAGATAAGGTTAAAGAGGAGTTTGAGTGGGGAAAGACGTATGACTGATTGATAAAGCAGAGAAAATCTTGGCATCTGGAAGAGCAAGGAGTAAATAATCTATGATGTGGAAAGGGCTTTGATTCCTTTGTGGAAGGGGCATTTTAAAAACTTACAGGGTTTGCTAACTCTGCTACCTATTGTTATAAAGGTAAAAAGCTCTTACCACCAAGGTTCTGGGGCAATTTTTTTCTACTACATGAGGATAATACGGGGGAAGGCACAAAAGAGTTCTTGAACACCAGAGAATCTATCATCTGCTCAAAAGCTGTACTCCCTACACCAATTTTAACTCTAGTTGCCTCAAGTCAACCTCTCCAGAGTATTCCACCAACTTGATTTTTTTAAACGTATGCCAGTAACAGTCAATTACTTCATGTATGTGTCTGTAAGAAATGTTACCAAAAATTCTATTAGAGACAAATTCTGTGTGTTTTGTGCGGCTCAAAGCATACAATTGAAAGGGACATCCTGAGATGTTATTCTCTTTTTTGTTATCAAAGCAGCCATATTTTATAACCTTGGAGATAAAAGGATCACTCTTTGTATTAAAACTCATTAAGTTTTTTTATCCCCTCGTTAGACGATTCTTTCGTACCTTCCTTTATAATTTCTAGCCTAACTAAGGCTATGGCTGATTCACATCTATTTGCTTTTGTGTCAGCATGTAGCATTTTTTTTATTTGACCCTTGCTCAAATTTGACTCGGCTCATTCACCTCATTTAAGCTGCAGGTCATCTTAAAGCTTCTCCTGCAACTTCTTGTACCATTTTCACTCTGCTGCTGAGCTAGACCAGCCAGAAGCTCCGGTTGCTTTGCCTTTATGAGTTACTATCTGTTACCTGATGCTGAGTAACCGTTGGAGTGCTCTGGCTTGGCCATACTTACTGTCTACTCTTTTTTTCTCTACTTCAGAAATCTCTCTAGGGTAAATAGAAGTAGGGGCAGGTTATTTGACATGTGTATCCTTTGCCATTCTGAAGTAATTTGTGACCATCTCAATTGTTCTACCCCCATGCATGAAAGGGGGCAATTTCATTTGTTTAACTACAACTAAATGCAGCTTTAAAATTTGGAGTCAGAAGCATGTCATACCATAGATGGTTTATTTTCTTTTTCTGTGTAATGCTTTGAAATGATCTTTGCATTCTAGTGAGTTTCTGAATTACTCCAGCTTATTTTTAGAGACATTATATAGCCAGGATAGTTCCACAGCTTTATTACGCTATTTGATATAGGGGAGTACTCTTCTTTTAACATATTTAGATCGATATTTCGAGTTTTATAGCATCACTGTACATCTTGCCTTAGTCTGTGATGTTTAAATTTGCCATACCCTCTTCCACTGCCATATTTAATGTATTAATTTCATTGGGGCTTTTAGAATGCTAATGAGAAACTGGCAAGCAGCAAATTCATTTAAGTTCTTTTTACAATTTGCCTACTAAATTAGACTCTTCTTATACAAAGATTAAAACCGCATGAGGATTAAGGCTTTGTAAATACAGAATAGTTTGGAGAATCAGGACTCAAAATAAGACCTAACATCTTTTTAATGGATTTGCTATTTCACTTCAGTTCTGAGCATCACAAAAAGCTCTCTTAAGTCCAAGAATAACCCAGAATACACACATCGGGAAACAGTAGTATAAGCACTCTGTGAAATTAAGTGTTTGAAATTCATTATTATTATTATTATTATTATTATGGTAAAATTGCTATTGCAAAGGAGATAGTCTCTTTAGAGGTGCAGAAAATGGCAATAGGATATGGTAATAGAATTATAACCTGCTTAAAACAGAGTAAGCCGATGTTTGAAAACGGTACCAAAGGTACTGGAAGCAATGTGAAGTCTCTTAGTAGGATTTTTCTTTTCTTTTTGGCTAGGTTTTCTGTGATACAACACATTGTTTTAATTGTGTTTGCTAATCCACTCCTAATCAAGTCAGTCTGTTGTTCAGTTATCTTTTGGATTATCATTTTCCCATACGTACTCAAAGTTAAAAAATCATCTTTCTGTATATAAAGGTGGGGAGGAAGAGCTAGTGAAGAGGCGCGTTTTGTCATTAAAGCCTCATTCCGATAGTCGTAAAGGAAAGTCTTTCTGTTAAATTCAATGAAAATTTGATCATCATGCATGCTGTGCATGGACACTCTAGGGAGTCTAGGGATATACTAGGGAATCTAGTGTTAACAAAACATGAATAATTCATGATTAAAGCTAAGAACCAAGATGTTTAGTAAATATACAAGATTGCCATATTCTGGGTGGGTACCCAAGAGCAGCAGTGTACCCCTTAGACATTCAGCATTGGCAGGGCTGGTTGGGCTTTACTTTCTCTGCAGCTAAAAATTTAATTTGATTTCAAGTCCTGCTAGTTGTTTATTTAATATGCAGGATAGTCCATCATATGTTCTATTTTTGTTTTTATTTCTCAGTTCAAACTACTTGAAATTTCCTTCTTCCTTTACTTAGCATTCTTCAACTTGTTCTTTTGGGAGATTGTTTCCTATTCAAGAGTTGCTAAAAGTCTTGAGAGGTCAAGGAAGTGCTTTGCCTGAATAATTTTAAATCTGCTTTTTGCAAGTGAAATAGGGTCCTGAATGAATTATATAGTAGACATGTTTGGGAATAATTCACTTCTGAATAGTTTCTTGAGATTTACTATCTCTAAGTTCTCAGATTTACATTCTAAGTTTTACTATGAACAGGATCTAAAAAGGATTTTGTCTGTTTACTCATTTTTTCTGTCATCTCCTGGTTTTGAATAATGAAGTTGTTGCCACGTCCTGTCTGCAGTAGAACAGCATTTTAATAAAATTGACATTCTAAATGGTTTTCCAAAAATTATGAGCAATAATATTTGTTTTCTACTTGGGAAGCAATCATCCACTACTTTCCTATGAATCCTCATACTACAGTTCGCTTTAGATCATCCAAAGCCCTTTTTTCCCTCTTTGTTTTTGAAGCAGGTGTTTTTCCCTGTGCTGACACAACCAATTATTTTATTCTCTTACAGTATCCAAGATTCTGGAGTAACATTAGAACAAGCTTCATCTCAATTGTTTTGAAGACTGAACCAATTTTTACCCATTACGTAGGAAAATTTAGATGTCTGATTAATTCTAGTTCTAGGGAGATGAATGGTAGCTTTCACTTAAAATAGAAGAATATCTCTGGTGTTCGGAGCATTTCCAAAATAGAAGTTAACTCGTTAAGCTTGACCTCATTAGGTAACTGAGATCAGCTCAGGTACCAAGATCATCCGAACTTGTGGACAAAAGCATAGGTGATTTGGAGATGTAAGCAAGCTCTGTATTTATCTAATACCTGAAGATTGGGTGATCACTCCTCTCTGTTTCATCCATTTCATCTTAATGCTTTGAGTTTGCCATTGCGTCTTCTTTAGAGCCAATCCATTAAGGCCACTAAGTACTATGGTAGTGTAAGTCTGTCACACATGTATGGAAACTGTGGTCCCCCTCTGTAACAGAAGACATTAAGGTCTTTGGAAAAAAATCCTTACAAAACCTGCATGTCATTTGTGCAAAATGAAAGATCTAAAATGCTGCGAATTCAGATACGAAAAGACATGCTCATTCCTAGGTTTCATTTCCAGCTGGCCTTTGCTCTATTCCCACATTAGAAAGCCGATTCATATTTTTTTAAAGACTTTTTTAAAGCACTGTAAGCTTACCATGCCAAAGAGCATGAAACCCGGCTCTGTTAGATACCATGTCTGGTTATGCGCTCTCTGCATGAGACTGACATGAGCTATGGCTACGCTCGCCCCTTAGAGAGAACTAAATCCCTTGCTTTGAGCAAAGCCTTGGCATTATAGTCTTGGCATTAAACAGAATATGGCACTATATAGGATTGGCACTGTATTGCTGAATATGCAATACTGGTTGTGCGGGGTCCTTCACCTCAGAGAGCTCTATAGCTGGAAGGGCCATCACCGAGACAGCCACTGCGCTGCTGGTACATAGTAAGACTTGGCTGAAAATTGGGAAAGAAAAATGGTCCATGCAACAGTTCCTCTAACCCATCCAAAGGTATTTACTGAGCTATCCCCCCCTCTGCTCCGTGGGCCTTCGCTCTGCCCCATGCAAGGTCTCTCAACCATCTGCCTAGGTTCTCCTTTACCTTGTTGCCTTCACATGGGATGGGAACTTGCAGATACCTCTGCAATCCATGTTCTCTGTA